TATAATTCCTCTATTTTTAATTTTTTTCACTTGAAATATTTATATAGTGGACATTGAAAAATTTCTCGAAAATGTTAAATCAACGGGGAAATTAGAAATATCTTTGGTTGTTCTCAATAAAGATGATCTTATGCAGAAGCTTAATGAGTTCACGATCGGGATTCACACAGTAGAGATTCAATCAACGTGTAAGTTAGAGCAAGTTCTTGTAAATTATTCTTTACCGCCATGTTTAGAAGTTCTACGTATTAGTGACAATACTTTAGATGAGGAGGATATTTTTGCTTTAATTAGATCTCTTAGGAACATGAAAGGCTTGCATGAATTAGATTTGTGTTGCACAAGGTTTACAGAAAGTAGTTTCAATTGTTTTATAACTGTACTTATCAAATGTAGCGATCTAAGAAGATTGTGTTTAACTGATAATGGCTTAACTAAACAAGACGTTAACTACTTAATAACCGCTTTTGAATCCCTTAAAAATCTTAAAAATTTAAACTTATCTAAAAACAACGTTACAGAAACACAAGCAAATGACATACTGCAAAAATATGGCGAAGGTAACAGCATTGTTTCTTTAGATTTATCCCAAAACGCATTACAAGGAAATGAAATTATTGTTCGGATTTGTAAACTAGACTCACTCGAAGAAGTAAATCTTTCTCATAACCACATAAGATTTCATCCTTTGCCTAGCTTAGAGGAAGGAAGTAACAAGTTTCCGATTAATACGAAAATCATCTCTTTGTCTTCCAATCACATGATACCTAATGACATTTGCCGTTTTCTTTCTTTAATCCGATCAGATCTGCTCAAACTTAACTTAGATTTCAATCATGTTGGCAATTCCATCTGGTCATTGTGTTCGTTAAGAATATTTAAGCATTTGAAAGTCTTAAGTTTAGCAAGTACTGATATCTGTGGTCCTGCCGTTGATGGTCTTGCTATCTTGCTGTCTTCAGTAACAGAACTTGAAGAACTGAATTTATCTTCGAATAATCTTATGTTGGAAGATTTTCGAAATCTTCAATCGCACTTATCAAATTTAACTCGGTTGAAAAAGTTGAATTTAAGCAACAATAATCTTGACGGAATTACAGTTATTTTGCAAGAGATCCTGCCTTCCTTGAATTACCTGGAAGAGTTACGCTTAAGTAACGTGCGTTTAAATGGTGACGATTGCAACAAAATCTATGAGTCACTAAAATTTTTAAGAAGTTTAAAATATTTTGATTTAAGTATTAATGCTATTGGTCCAGATGGAACAAGAGCACTTGCAAACATATTGAAGGAGATCCCGTTATTAGAGGGCCTGGACGTGAGTAAATCATGTATTAAGGAATATGCGATAGATCTCTTTTGTAAGGCTTTAGTTCCATTAAACAAATTGAGACATCTGAATTTGTCGGGCAATCGGATTGATATTGAGATCTTAGATGATGCTTTGTCTTTACCTCCTAATTTGCAGGAGCTAATTTTGAGTGATATTATTCATGGTGGAAAACTCTTTGTCAATATGATACCGTTGCAACACCAACTAAGAATACTTCATCTTAGTAAAATCAAATTAAGACTGTGTGATGCTGATAGGTTAGCCGCTATGTTGTCGTCTTTTCGACTGTTGCAAGAACTAGTTTTAACTAATGTTGATGTTGCGGACAGGAAATGTGAAAAAATCTTTAGTGCGATAAAATTGTTGAAGAATTTGAAAAAGCTTGATCTTGGGGGTATGAAAGTAAATAACGGGAAAGCCTTCATTGAAATCTTCTCGTCTCTTTTATTTTTGAAAGAAATAGTGTTTCCTGATGTTTTAATACATGATGATGGTGTCATAGGGTGTTTTGATGCTTTAAGATCATTAACATATTTGAAAAACCTTCATTTAGGGCGGTCTACGATTACCCAAACTGGCGCTGTAACTTTAGCTAACGTGTTACCATCACTGCAGTTGTTGGAAAAGCTAGTGTTGAAAAAGATTGAGTTTGATGATGAATGCCAAAAACACCTGTTTCATGCTGTAGGAAAATTGAAATATTTAAAGGAACTTGATTTAGGGTGGTCTAAGACTACCCATACTGGCGCTGTAACTTTAGCTGAGGTGTTACCATCACTGCAGTTGTTGGAAAAGCTAGTGTTGAAAAAGATTGAGTTTGATGATGAATGCCAAAAACACCTGTTTCATGCTGTAGGAAAATTGAAATATTTAAAGAAACTTGATTTAGGGTGGTCTAAGATTACCCAAACTGGCGCTGTAACTTTAGCTGAGGTGTTACCATCACTGCAGTTGTTGGAAAAGCTAGTGTTGCGAGATATTAAGTTTGATGATGAACACCAAAAACACTTGTTTCATGCTGTAGGAAAATTGAAATATTTAAAGAAACTTGTTTTAAGGTTTTCTAAGATTACCCAAACTGGCGCTGTAACTTTAGCTGAGGTGTTACCATCACTGCAGTTGTTGGAAAAGCTACTGTTGGAAGGTATTATTGAGGTCGATGATGAATGCCAAAAACACTTGTTTCATGCTGTAGGAAAATTGAAATATTTAAAGAAACTTGATTTAGGGTGGTCTAAGATTACCCAAACTGGCGCTGTAACTTTAGCTGAGGTGTTACCATCACTGCAGTTGTTGGAAAAGCTAGTGTTGCGAGATATTAAGTTTGATGATGAACACCAAAAACACTTGTTTCATGCTGTAGGAAAATTGAAATATTTAAAGAAACTTGTTTTAAGGTTTTCTAAGATTACCCAAACTGGCGCTGTAACTTTAGCTGAGGTGTTACCATCACTGCAGTTGTTGGAAAAGCTACTGTTGGAAGGTATTATTGAGGTCGATGATGAATGCCAAAAACACTTGTTTCATGCTGTAGGAAAATTGAAATATTTAAAGAAACTTGATTTAGGGTGGTCTAAGATTACCCAAACTGGCGCTGTAACTTTAGCTGAGGTGTTACCATCACTGCAGTTGTTGGAAAAGCTAGTGTTGCAAGATATTGAGTTTGATGATGAATGCCAAAAACACTTGTTTCATGCTGTAGGAAAATTGAAATATTTAAAGGAACTTGATTTCTGGTATACTACGATTACCCAAACTGGTGCTGTAATTTTAGCTGAGGTGTTACCATCACTGCAGTTGTTGGAAAAGCTAGTGTTGCAAGATATTGAGGTCGATGATGAATGCCAAAAACACTTGTTTCATGCTGTAGGAAAATTGAAATATTTAAAGAAACTTTATTTCTGGTATTCTACGATTACCCAAACTGGCGCTGTAACTTTAGCTGAGGTGTTACCATCACTGCAGTTGTTGGAAAAGCTAGTGTTGCAAGATATTGAGTTTGATGATGAATGCCAAAAACACTTGTTTCATGCTGTAGGAAAATTGAAATATTTAAAGGAACTTTATTTCTGGTATTCTACGATTACCCAAACTGGCGCTGTAACTTTAGCTGAGGTGTTGCCATCACTGCAGTTGTTGGAAAAGCTAGTGTTGAATGTGATTGAGTTTGATGATGAATGCCAAAAACACTTGTTTCATGCTGTAGGAAAATTGAAATATTTAAAGGAACTTGATTTAAGGTGGTCTAAGATTACCCAAACTGGCGCTGTAACTTTAGCTGAGGTGTTACCATCACTGCAGTTGTTGGAAAAGCTAGTGTTGAAAAAGATTGAGTTTGATGATGAATGCCAAAAACACTTGTTTCATGGTGTAAGAAAATTGAAATATTTAAATGAACTTGATTTCGCGTTGTCTGAAATTACCCAAACTGGCGCTGTAACTTTAGCTGAGGTGTTACCATCACTGCAGTTGTTGGAAAAGCTAGTGTTGAAAAATATTGAGTTTGATGATGAATGCCAAAAACACTTGTTTCATGCTGTAGGAAAATTGAAATATTTAAATGAACTTGATTTCGGGTTGTCTGAAATTACCCTAGCAGGTGTAGCAGCTCTAACTGATGTATTACCAAGCTTGTGTAACTTAAGATGGATTTTCTTATCAAAGATAAAAAGTGACGAAACAGAAATATCAAGTAATGAAGAAAGTGAGGAAAATGAAAGTGTGGAAATTAAAACAGCCAAAAGTAAACTTGAAGTGGCGGCACGCCTTGTTCCCGGATTGCAAATACGTTGGAATTAGAGGGCACGTATAGACTGTAAACCTCCGCCAGCGAATTACGTTATGCGTCTTGGATAAATTATACAATGGGCTAATTATGCATTCTGTTTACTGTGCCCGGCAGAGCAACACAAGCTTTTACTAATTTCTCATCGACTTTTCATTCAAATTTAACCAAAATTTAATCATTTTGCCCTTGGACAATGTCCAGTTGTTCCACAAATTTTGGTGCTAATACGTGTGATATTTTTTAGTCATCTTGTTGACTGACAATACACACACACACACACACACACACACACACACACACACAGATAACGCGGATAAAACATACCCTTCAGGTGGAGGTAATAAATGTCCGCCTAGACTCATGCAGGGGTAGGTCTATTTCAAGATATACGAATGTATTACACTAATAGTCTTAAACTTTTACAATTAGAAGTTAAAATATTTTCTGCACAAATAATGCATTCTTGCAAATATTTATTTTAAATGCATTTTTTCTCGTAAGAGACGTTATTTCAATACTCAAGTTTATTATTGGCGATGCTATGATACCGAAGTGTTTTTAAGACGATATCATTACGAGTTCCTCTTTTATGATTTGTTAACTTGTAACAATATTTAACAAATTTTGACTCCCACAATTCCAAACGACTTTGGTTTCACTTCATCTACGCTATAGACTTATTACAACAGGTCGACTTTAGGTCGGCTTACTTATGGTGTATTGTATCCATGCCAATGTGATGCCATATTCGCCCGGCTTCTTTGCCAGTAATCCCATCAGTCATTTATAGACAATATCAGTCTCCTTTCCCGTTATACCAGCAGTTGATGTCTGTAGATTGATGGTGTGTTGATGTTCAGTAGCTCGACGCGTATGGGTGGAAAACTTTCACTTTCAAAAGTGAATGTTACTGCCGCTTTAATTAAGGCTAGTTTTTTTCAACTGTTGAAAAATTACTTGAAACGTTATAAAACTATGGATATGGCCTTCGTACAACCCGCCCCTAGTGTCTAGCCTCTTGCTTGCTAGCTGTACTTCGTATGATGACTTCACCTGACAGTGTTTAAATTGATGGTTCTTTTATAACATCAGCACATATTTCAATTCTGGGCTCAGTGTTATATCTATAACTTAATTATGCCTTGCTAGTGTCAGGCCACGAAAAGGTCATGATCTTTTCGAGAAGGGCTTCCCGCGCAGCTGTGATAAAGGGCATATTTTTTAACAGCCATCCATGCATCATGAATTTTATCCTAATTGAAGTTGGAACTTTGATCTTGTAGAAGTAATTGTGATCTTGTAGAAGTAATGTTCCTTTCTCACAAAATAAATCATCTTTCTTTGCTTTGTCGATAGTAGACCGCGGTTAGCAGGCAATAGTTTGTTGGATAATTGAGCATTGGTTACATGAAAACGAAGTTTTGATAACAAGGACTCATCTTACATGGTTATATACAAATTAATTAAAACAGCCACACATTACAGGCATTAAGTACAGGCAAAAAACCCAAAATAATACTTAAGGAAACTATCACAGGTTATAAGCAAAATATTTTTTCGTGTAGCCATGAAAATTTGAAAAAGATCCATATCACTACCAGTCACATGTTCACATTTCTTATAAATAATATAAGAAAATAAGTAATTATAGACTTAGAAAATAAGTAATTATTATATAATAATAATAATAATCAAGCCATAATATCATCATAATAAATATAATAATAATCATCATGATAATTATCATAGTTATAATTATCTTTAATAAGATGTATCAGAGGTCATGAATTACATGAAGACGTTTCGACCCAGGCTGAATTTTAATCCAGTTAAAGATGCGGTACAGTCCGTATGTAAACAAAGGCTTTGTTTACATTTCGGTATCCAAAATATAGAATTTTATTCGACAACTATTTATATTTTCATGATTCTAGAGTAAAATAAATTATCAAGACACAACAATCAATCTTTGCAAGAACATAAAATGAAATAAAAACCTAAATAAACTGTTTGTATAATAAAAAAGGGCTCCTTTGTGCACATGCGCAGAGCGGACTGTACAGCATCTTTAACCGAGCTGAAATTGTTTTACATAGCAAGTTTCAGCCCGAGTTGAGCTTAAAATCTCAGTCTTCAACGAGAGCTGTTTCGCTATTTTTAACCATCAAAAAGTTTGATATAAAAACTATTTCAAACACCTTCGATTTGTAAAACAATTACCATTTTTTAAAATCTCTTTTCATTATAAAAATTCTGGCTACAATATCATTGATGTGAAAAGCATACTCTATCCATTGCTGCCTTTAGATCAATGAGTTTTCCAATGTCATTGAAGTGTGCAATTTGTTACTTACGAAGTCATTTGTGGGTTTTTTGATTACGTAGATCTACATTTAATAGTACTAATAGACCCTTCCAAGGTTAAAGACGCCATAATGAAACACAATAGAATTCCCTATACGTAAATTTGCAAGGAGTGGAAACACAATGTTGAAAACAATAGATTCAAGATGGCGGAAAATACCTTGGAACATTGAAATGCCTTGGAAGGGCCTATTAGCCATTTCGCAATCGAGCAGAGGACTAGGTCTAGTCGCTTGTTTGGAGGGACAAAAAATAAACAATATGACGAATATGGCATCTAGGAAGTTTTCCTACATTCCTAAAGTTATTTGTGCAGCCTGAAACGCAACAATTATAATAAGGCATCTTTTAATATATATTTAGCTCGCTCACTATAACTTGTTGTCCCTCCAAATATCAACTAGACCCAGTCCTCTGCTTGATTGGAAAATGGCTAATTAAGAGTTGTTTAAGAGAAATATAAGTTGTACTCAGAGGCAAATAATGATCAAATGCATCTTTTATCAATGTAAATAATTCTATTTTAAATTAAACCTTGTTCCGTTTAACTTTTGTCAAACTTCATGTAACAAGTTAAGAAATGTTCATTGTGTAATATAGAACAGAGACGTGAGGTTACACGACAAGCTCGAACGTCTCAAGCCTGAGAGCAGTTTAATATTAATAATAATATTTGTTTTTCCCTTGTTCAATTTAGTCGTGTATCTATGAGTTTAAGTCACTGTTACGTACTAGATTAAGCATTCTTTAAAGGAAAATGGCAACAGTTCTCATTTGAAAGAACGTTGAGATTATTTACAAATTCTTTTTTCAAATATTCCCAAACGACCTTAATTTTTGAGTTATTTGAAACCAAAACATTCTGGTATCCGCCATCGTAGATCTAATTAAATGATGTCACAATCAGGGTAGACATTTTAAAACTAAAAATAATATCAGTGGAATGCTTATACATAGCTTAAAAAACTCATTAATAATTCAGGAGGAAAACACAAAGAAAAATCATAAGCGTGTCGTGGTTTTATATGTGATATAAAATCATGTTAATTTACATAAACTTTAGCTTTGATTTTCTCGGTTTAGACAAAGTTTATT